GGGCGGATAGAAGTGACAAGAAGACGAGGAAGAAGACGTAAGAAGATGCTGGATGACCTTGGGGACAGAAGAGGATACTGTCATTTGAAGGAGAAAGCTCTAGATCGCATTAAGTGGAGGAATTGTTTTGAAAGAGACTGTGGACCTGTCGTCTTGACAGATTACTGATGATGATGATGATGATTTAAAATTTCAGTTTGTACCTCACAGGAAGTATGCTGTTTCCATTATGAATACCATTTGGTTCATGCTGTTGAAATAATATCTATATATTCTGTGTCTTGTATTAAACAAATATATATATATATATTTTTTTTTATTGCTAGTGGGGTGGGACTAAGTCCCTTGTACTGCGGCCATTTCTGGCCTATTGTACCAGCCCCAGATGATATGTGAGGGTGATTGTGGAGCAGTTGGTGGAATGAAGATTGGCAGGGGAAACCGAAGTACTTGGAGAAAACCTGCCCCACTGCCACTTTGTCCACCACAAATTCCACTTGACCAGACCCCAGGCTGCCGCTGTGGGAAGTCAGTGACTAACCGCTTGAGCTATGGTGAGGACAAAAACAGATAAATAAGCTGTGTGGGAAAAGTGTGGAGCATTTTTAATGTTGAAGTGGGTGGTATCATCCTTTTTAGAACTGATAACTTATTTAAAATTGATTTCTGTTCATTATAATAAATACATGCTTATATTCATCTTATTTTACCATTATACTAAAACTTCGATGAATCAGACCCCATTAATCTGAACACATGTTGCATAATTAAACCAGATCCCAGATCATCTCCTATACCTTCATGTTTTGACATAAACTTTGGAAATACAAGTTTAAGTATATGTATCAGATATAAGCAAAATATCTTTCTAATTAAATTCGCTTAGTGGGGGGTGGAGTCCAACTGAGTCCACTTGGCACGGCGGCCACTGATTGGCCTATTGTAGCCTGCCCCAGGTGAATATGGTGATGGAGAATTTAGTGGAATGAAGATTGGCAGAAGAAACCAAAGTACTCGGAGAATACCCGCCCCAGTGCCACTTTGTCCACCACAAATCCCACTTCACCAGACCCAGGATCGAACCCGGGCCGCCACGGTGGGAAGCCAGCGACTACCCACTTGAGCTATGGCGCAGCCAAAAATATCTGTCTAACTCAAAAGGGTCTCAAAATGTCTGTTGGTTTTAAGTACAATAATTCTAATAATATATTCCAATTATTAGCATTTTTCTATTAATATTTCACTAGTCCTGATTATCACCTAGTTCCAAGCCCTCCTCTCTCCATTTAGTCAGGATTATTGAAGTCCTACTCTGTTTAATATGTATTATTTCGAGAGTTTGCTGTATATCTAACTGATTTTGAATTAATGGAAAATTCATTTTTGGCAAACAGATTTTTTCTTACAAATTAGTTCTAAAGAACCAGTCCTTTTCATAAATTAAAGAGTTGGGGTACTGTAGGTCTACTCTAATTAATTACAAATGTTAGTAGGACCTTAGGGCCACGCCATAGCTCAAGTGGTTAGTCGCTGGCTTTCCACCACGGCGGCCCGGGTTTGATCCTGGGTCTGGTCAAGTGGGATTTGTGGTGGACAAAGTGGCGCTGGTGCGGGTTTTCTCCGAGTACTTCGGTTTTCCCTGCCAATCTTCATTCCACCAAATTCTCCATCATCATAATCACCCGGGGCAGGTACAATAGGCCAATTGGACCCAGTTGGACTCCACCCCCCACTAAGCAAAAGAAAAATTTAGTAGGGCCTTCCCTGTCCCCCAAAGATAATTTTCTTGTGATACCTACTGAATTACAGGACAGAGTAGTTAGAAATGTAACAGTTTAACTGATTTTACTTGCTCAGTACCTCTATGTTTTTCATTATGTTGAAACTAGATACAGTATAATGAGAATTTATTTCCATATTAATGTGTATTTTTTTAATAAATATTCAGGAAAATAACTATCAGCATTAAATCTTCATTTTTAATTACAGTTTATTTTTTTTATGAAACCCCATGACATTTATATAATTTATCTCTTTCAAGAATTACACAGAAAGTAGGAGTCAGTTGTTAAAATTTTTCATATCATTCTCTTTATGTGGCAATGTCATAAAATTTTCCTACTGAGATTCTGAGAAGGCTGTTCATATCCTGGTGATTTATGGATGTTTCAAGAAGATCCATATTTGGTCTTTTGACATCTGTAGATCCTACAAATTTTATAAACACCAGTACTTTCTCCTTTAACACATCATCATCATCATCATCATCCTTTCCAGTATTAGGTGTATGGATATTACAGATAAAGTTATAGAGAAATATAAGTTTACCTGCTATTTTATATGTATGTGAGACTTGGTCTCTCTCTTCAAGGAAGAAGAGCATTTGAAAATTAAGTGCCAAGAAGAATATTTATATTTAAGAGGGAAGATTTAACAGGGCATTGGAGAAATGGAGGATGCAGACTGGACTTGTCTTGCTCAGGTTAAGGCATAGTGGTGGATTCTTGTCACTGTGGCAATAAACCTTAGAGTCTGTAAAAATGGAGGTATTTCTTGACCAACTAAGTGAATATCAGTTTTAAAGAAATACCCATTTTTGTGCACTTATTTAGATAAATGAATCATGAAATGAGTTGGTTCTGTTATTTTGTTTTGCAGTTTGACAGTGGCACAACTATATCAAAAAGGAAATCCTCAAAATCCCACCTGAAATATGGGAAACATAAGCAGCCAAGAACAAGTGGAGCCTGACCCCTGGTGGGAGCCAAACCAGCTACAGCACTACAGCACGCAAAATGTAAATATTTGAGGACAGAAATTCAACTGCAGAGTACTTATATAGCCTTGCCTGGTCATGTGATAAGTAGTTGCCTGCTTTAGATATTCTTTGATGTTCTGAAATCAAAAGTCTCATCACTAGTGCTACAAAATCTTACCATGTCAATCCCAAGAATTATTTTCTTAAGACTTTGTTATCTTTATATCTATACCCCAGCCTCAGCCAGTTTCCCAGTCTTTCCATGAGAATTTCAAATTCTTACACACTGTACTGGAAATAATGAACAACTCAAACAAACATAAATTGGTAACATGTCACCCGTCTGTTTCATAATTATCAGAAAGCTTCATGCACTCTTGCTAGTGCATCATGATTTTAAAAATGAACAAGATTCGTTTCTTTTCTTTTAACCGGTTGTGTGTCACTATGTGAGTCATCTTATCATCAGCACAGTCCTAACTCTTTGATGAATATAAAATATGGTGTATTGTTTATAATATATATCTAGTCATTGGAGTTTTGCTCTGAAGTGTCAGTTTGACTGTTGCAGTTGAATGATCTGTACTTCTGCTTCATATTTAGAAGTTTCCGGGATCAAATGTCAACCATAGACCAGCTATTATGACAGTGATTTTTACGTTTTTCCTCAGACCCTCCAGACAAATGCCAGAACAGTACATAAAATAGAGCCATAATACCTTTGTTCCACATCATTTCTAATGCATTAATCATCTTAACATTTGATGCTATATAGACTGAGCTATTCAAAGCATGGTTAAACAAACCATAAATACATGAAAAAAACTGTTGGTGTGAAGGTTATGGCATGTAATATTAACAGTTCCAAGTCATACTTCATTAACTTTTCCACTTGTCAGAAGAACACTTAGAGATTTTCCATTGTCGTATATCATTTTTCATTAATGTTGTACTACTGCAGTTCTGGATGTGGCCAGCTATGATCTACTTTTAGCAAGAAATCATGAAAATTCATCTCTGCGTACCAGACTAAAAGCATAGCCCCAGGTATACTGTGTAATAGTATTTCATGTTTTGCACGCAGTTTATCTCAATACATTAAATGATTGCCAGTCTTGTAGGTTTATAAAATTAAGTAGAATGCACCATCAGACCATAAGCTTTGTGTTTCATTTATTTTCTGTGGTTTTTATATAACACAAAAATGAATTTGCAAAACTTAATATTTTGAACCAATTTCTTGTGGTAAATATATATCAAATTTATAGTCCCAATGACTTCTATTCATTTGTCCATCATTCCATGAAATTATTTGTGTGTGGAGGTACTGTGCAAGCCTTTTCAATTGCTTGCCAAGTGGTATTCTGCACACTGACCTGTCCATGATACAAATAATGGACACAGAATATTAAAGAATTGCATAAAGTAAGTGGATGTGCCTATCTTCCATCCACACAGCTCATTTTGGATAATAAACTAGAGGACATATTTCAGAATTTGTAACTTTTCATGATCCACTGATCAAATACAAGCCTGTTAATGTTTCTGCAGGTGCCTTCACACACTGACCCACAGGAGTCAGATGCCACAGTCTGTAAGACACATACACAAGAAACCACAAGACCATGTGAAGAAATGATACTGTCAGAAACAACATGGCAACGGAGGGAACTAACACTCGGACAAACCATCCAACACCTTGCAGAAGAGAATATGCGACTAACTGTTGCAAGGCAGGTTGCTGAGAAGAGACTGGATGAAATGCATGCAGAGTTTAAAGCAGAAACACAACGGACTTCTGAAGAACTGAACAGAGTGCGTGGTGAAGCAGAGAAAACTCAGCAAATGTTTAAGAAACTCCATGCCCAGATACAGGCAGGTAGGGAAGACAGACAGATGATCACCTTAGAAATGGAGCGGATAAGGTCTGGTTTTGATGCAGAAAGAGAAGCAAAGGAGGAAGTGATTGCTGAGATGAGGAAATTAAGGGAAGAACGGGATAAAAATGCAAGAGAATTAGAAAACATCAAAGAACAGTTAATGCGTGAAAGGAAGGTGGTGGAGGAAATAACAGCAATGCTTAGTCAGGAAAGGGAAGAGAAAGAACATGTCATGGAAGAACTAGAGAGAATGAAACAGGAACTGAAAACTGCCAAGAAATCGTTAGTCTCAACTGCAGTTGATTTGCAAACACAAAGCATGCCAGAGGAACAGAGGATGCAAGAAAGTGAAAGCCTTGGGACTGAGGGGTGTGCAGCAATGCGATTGAGAAGTCCAGAGGTAAAGGCAGAATTGGAGAGGTTTCAAGCAGAAGCAAGTACAAGAAGAGAAGCCATGCAACGTGTAATGCATGCTGTATCTTCAGAACTTCAGAGATTAAGGAGAGAACTGACTGCTGAACGTGAAGCTAGACAACAACTGGAAAAGAATATGCTGCATGCTGGTAGCACCAAGAAATCAAAACAAGAAGAGACATTAACCCTTGAACTGGAACAAGTACAGCAGAAAATGAAAGCAGACAAGAAGAGACTCAAACAACTTAGTCAAGAAAATGAAAGGTTGCAGTTTGAATTAGAGAATGAACATCAAATTCTTAGAGAGAGGACTGATGATCTAGAGAAGATGCAGACACAGTTGGAATCTGAACGTGAACACACTCAGAATCAAATAATGGCTCTCAAGGAAGTGGCAACTATAAGCAAACAATTGTTGTTAATAAGGGAAGGACAGGTAATGCAGTTGAAGGAGAAGCTGAAGGAAATCGAAGCTTCTGTTATAAACAGGGTACATGAGAAATTATCAGTAGATCTAAAAACAGAATATGAATCCCAGATCGAGAATATACGTAGTTTGAAGGGTCTGTATGAGGAGCGTATGAAAGTCATACTTTCAGAGAAAGATAAACTCGTTCAGGATTCTGAAGAGAAATCTCAGCATCTAAAAGCAGAAATTAAAAAGTCAGCAGAATTTGAACAGCAACTAGCAGAATTGAAAGTATCACTGTCACAGAAGGAAGAAGAAAACTCAAATTTGCAGATACAGCTTGATGATTCTGAGGACAAAAGTAAAGGTTTGGCCAATGAACTGTCACACATAAACAATCTGTTCACTCAGATGTTAGTTGGCAGCACAACAACTGATATGGATCTTGACAGACTCACTAGACTACTTCAAGAAAACCATGATCTTATCACAGAAATAACCATTAAGGAAGACTCTAGTGAAGCTGCTGCCACTTTGCCAAAATTATTGTTAGATCTAGTGACACAAGTGGACAGTGGAACAGCTTCAACATCAAGCTCTCCAACGGGGGAGAGGACTGAAGATAATCCATTGGCGCTTGAGACACCCCCTCCTCCAATTGTTCATGGCCTCACAGCAGAAGATGTGCCTGGAATGAACAGTAAAAGTACTGAAGAATCTGCTAATGGCATGGCAGTTGAAGATATAGCTCTTAATCTACCCAAAGTGTGGAAGGTTCTCATGGAACTACTTAGTCATCATGTAACTCCAAGTTATGTTGGAGACCGTGAGGATAGTAAAAATAGTTGTTATAAAAGTGTTGATACACCATCTGGCCCTCGTCTGGTAATAAGTGTTAGTAAGACGTTCCTTCGACTCAAAGACTTGATTTTAGAAAAGAAATCACTTCAAAAGGAGCTGACTCGCCTGAAACAGTTGAATGGGCACTTAGAATCTAAGCTGAATGATCAAGAACACAAGCTATCTCTAGTATCATCCGAACTGAGAAAAACATGGAATGTTGTTGATCGGATGCAAACCCAGCATCAACAGCTGCACACTCATGAGAAGATATTACGCTATGAGCTTCATGAGAAACGAAAGATGCTCAATGAGTTGAAACAGGAACTGGAGTATTGCCGTGAAAAGTGGGAGCGTGCCCGACAAAAAAACTCGGAATCTGAACTGGAATGGAAGAAACTCAGAAAGGAGTTTGCATCACGTAAACAACACCCTATGGACTTGCTCAACAACTCAGGTGAAAGTGGTTTTTCAGATGAGAGAGGAGATGACAGCTGTGAAGATGATGATGGAACCAGTAAGGATACTGGGCAACTGGATCCAGGGATTGAGGATCTCTCCAATCTTCATGGTGACTCAGGAATTGTTCGCACATCATCTCCATTAGACACAAATTTCCCACAACCACGCTTGGTCCTCAGTTCCTCAAGTATTCATGAAGCCGATACATCAGGTAGTGTACTTGGACAGAGTGAGCTATTGCTTGATGAACCTATTCTTTCAGGTACAAACATAATGTCAGCATCTCCTCCTGTTCGTGAACGTGCAGAGCTATTAAATCATTCTGAATCTGAATTATTATTGGGATTAGAAACTGAGTTACAGCCTAACTCAGAATGCTCAGGTCACATTGAATTGCAGCCACATTCTTTAGACATGTGCTTTGATTCTCTGGAGCACAATATGAAAGAAGAATGTATGTCAGACTGTAGAATAGAGCCACAGATCCATGGTGATTGTTCAACAATTTCATTAATCACACTGTTAAAACAACAGCTTGCATTCTTCTCTAGAAACCTTGATTGTATAACAACAAGGACTGCTGACATCACAGGAAATAATCTACAAGCTCTGGAATCTATATTTTCATTGCCTCCTATTCAAATTCCAAAATCTTTACATGATAATATTACAAAGCAAGATTATTTTAAATCCTTTTACTGTTGTGAACAAGGAGATTCACTTCATTTCAGTTCATCACATTGTGAACATATGTCCACAACACCTGTCTTTTGCAGTAATGATGAAATTGTCAAGTCTGTCTGTTGTGCTTTTAAATCAGAGCATGAGGTGGTGCCTGGTGAAGCAGATTCTCTAGGAGAAAACAATACACCAAATGACTGTCCACCAGAAAACATAACTTCAGTAGAAACAGATAATACCATTCAGTGTTCAGCAGATGAAAGTACTATGTTACAAGAACCAACTGTTGAAAATTCCTTGTGTAACCAACAGAGTTCTCATGATGACTCAAGAAGTTCTGAGCAATCAGGAACCGTGCAGTCTAGTCAAGAAAATTTGAAGGTAAACAGGACACCTGAAGAAATCGCAGAAGCTCGTGCAGCTAGGCTCAAGAGATTGGAGGAACAGTGTCAACAGCTTTACAACAAAGTTACAAGGACCACCCACCGCAGCACTGCATTATGTAATAGATTAGAAGAATTACACGAGCAGTATGGAAGCAATGATCCCCCTGTAGGCACCGGAACTGATTCAGAAAGCAGTGTTCCTGTTCCACCTCCTTTTCCGCATGTTCTTCCCACCAGGCGGATCCAGACGTCTGCAATACTGTCTCAGAGGAATGATTCAGAAGAAGTAATGGTCTCCCCGACTACTACATCTTCATTTGGGCATACTCTTTATTCTAGTCAGATCCCAACAGATGTAGAAGATAATGGAACAATTGAATCAAGAGAAACTATAGAAACAAACAGTATTCCTACGCCATCTCCATTCCCTCACAGTATTCCTTCATTTGAGATCTCCGCTAGAGCTGAATCAATTGCAGCCGAAATCAATCATGCTGAACAACAGTCAGGAATTTCTATTCCTACACCTCCTCCACTGCCACATATACTCAGGGGAAGACGGCTTCCAACTTATTCTGTGCAGTCACAAATTAATGGTGATAGCACAGCACACAGTGAAGACGAAACTACGACACAACGAATTCCTAGCATCACACAGACACATGAAGAAATGTCACAAGAATCTACCATCTCCTCTACAAGAAATGAAGGCTATTCAAACTCAAATTTAAAATAAAACTGTATGATTATAAGGTACACCTGGAAGTTAAAATAAACATACTTTTACTGAACAGGCGATCAAGAAGGTAGCAAGTGAGACATAACTCAGCTGTAGTTGAATATAAGCATTTAGTACAACCAGGAAAGATAAAATTCATAGTCGAAATTAGTTTTAAATTAAGTTAAATTCATTTGTTACTTCTGTAACAATTATTCAATTTATAATAGAAACTATTCTTGTAACATCTACATACTTCTTACATATGTATGATGTAACATGAGTACTGGTGCTGTTCAGTGTAAGTGTAAAGTTTATTGTAAATACAGTTCAGTATTTGTAAAAATGACATATTTTTATACTGTTTGTAGCAGGATGGTAGAAAATCTTGTAGACATATCTGTGATCTTGTTTTACACATTAATTTCTTATATACAGTGCATAGTGGCACTTTCTATTTTGTTCAAACAAAAGACTTAAGAATGATGTTATTTCATATCTTTTCATTAATGACATAAAAATATACTAATTCTGTAAGATCAAATCTGTAAAAAGTTGGTCATGATTACAAATTTTATTATGAATGTGGATATAAATTTTTTAATCAGAAATTTGGTAATATAATATATAAACATAACACACATTATAACCAGGAGTATTCAATTTTCCATCTGTACCTTAATTCCTTATATAAAACCTGATAAGTGTTCTTCCTGATGAAACTGAGTTTCTTCATAAGTTTGGTATCCACTATTTAACTTCAATATAAGTTTGGAATGGGAAACAAGCAAATTAAATATACAGTTACATTTTACATGAAGTTATTCTCTAATCTCTTGTGTCCATTAAAAGGCGACTGTTTTCCTTGGCAACCATATCTAGTTATGCCACAAGAATTCAAGAAAGTCCAGGTTAGGTTATCGTTGGTTTCAGAGAGCTACGTTGTCCACACAGGAAATGTGTATTGTGCATGTTGCCTTTTAAATAACAATAAATATTTTAAGATACTAGTTGTTTGAGGGGCTATGCTACAAGCCGGACAGTTGCGGGTTCAACTCCTGATGAGGTCATTGGATTCTTTCCAATTGACCTGATCCTTCCAGTCGCACTATGGCACTGGGGTTGACTCAGCCTCTGACAGAAATGGGTACCAGGAATTAATTAAATAATTTTCCTGGGGAGTAAAGCGCGGCCAGCGCGTAAGGCTGACAACCATCTTTGAGTCAATTGTCTAGAAAATGTAGGACCCTTGATGTCTCACAGCCCTATGGGCCTTCACGGCCTGTTACAGGGATAGCTTTACTTTTCTTTCTCTCTCTTTTTTTTTACTCAGCGAAAATATTGAGAATGGTATAATATCAATGTCAACATTCTCTTATTCAGATGTAACACAAATGTTAATTTTAGTCTTTTCACAAGTATTGACGTGAAGTTCGATTTCTTCAATAAGAAAAGAAACTACTGTTTCCAATAAATTGCAGTAACCACTGCCCATGATACAATTATAAGGTGTGGACTGAAGTAGATTATGCTTCAATCGTGTGCTGGTCTTAACAATGAACAAATGCTAAAAAAGTCCAATGCAGGGATCTTTCAGATCCTATAATATTGTGTGTAATGGGTGTATTATTGACAAAACGAAATTTTCATATTTTAAAAAATCACTTAGAAAGAGAATGATCCTCATGTTTTTTACTACATTTTACTTCGAATCCATAATGTCAGAATTCTGCGTTTTTTGAGTACCCAAAATAAAATGAAAATAGGCACAGCATTGGTTGCTGTCTGTAGATGAGAATAATCTGATATGCAGAGCTGCCAGTTACAGTATTATTTATAGCAATTCTGCATTTGAAACCATTAACATAATTAACTTAGTTGTTAAATTCGGGCATTCTATCAGGTTTTCCATCTAGGAAAAGAAGTGATGTCGTTACTTCTGCATGTTGATCTGAAAATGTGGCAATAAAGTAAAATCAATGGATTTTTTTACGTTTACAAAGTTATTGAAAGCAAAATTGCAAATGAAAGAAAATAATTGCCTCATTATCTATGTATTAATGTTTCCATGGCCCTTGTGGACCTTGGCCGACTTTTCATTTTCTTAATCCATACACAGACGGTAGGACTCTTTGGACGAATGATCAGCCCGTCGCAAGGCCACTACCTGCACAGGGCAACACAAACCCAGATATCCATGTCTCGAATGGGATTCAAACACACGATCCCAGCGTTCGAAGACAGTTGATGCCTTAGACCGTACAGCCACTGTGATCGGCATTTGCTCATTATGCGACAAGATAATATTGAAGATCTGAAGTACCCCAAGAAATTCTGTTTCTGTAATGAATTTGCTGCACAAAAATTATACACTTTACAAGTAACACTTTTTATTTGGAACCCGAAATAGAAGAACAAACCTGAAAACCCGGAGAGTCGTGTGGATGACTCGAAAATCCAGCATTAAGTAGATATTACTCTCGTTCGGTCCATATCTCTAACAATTCAAATGCGTCCCCAAACTCAACTTTTCTCCAGCAGTCTCTGAACCCTCCGCATTATTTTGATATTCTCGTATCCCTGGCCGTGTCTTTTTATATATTACTCTAAGAGTTGAAAGTGCTTCGATTTATAACCGGTGTCACCATGATTAAATGGGAAGCGACGAATTTATAAATAGTTGTGTTAATGGCATTATGACAACACATTACGGACTTCTTGGATAACCCTAAATGCAGAAAGTGTGGACAGGAGGAGGAATTCTCTTGCCACGTACTTTGTCAGTAGCCATCTCTGGCTCGGGCATAGAACGAACGACTTCGGTTCTGCATGGATGGAGTCGACAGATAGTAAGGCCTCAGTTACGTTGTAGCTCGTGAGCTGAGGACAGGACATTTATGAAGGGACGTAGTGAAAACATGGGCGCACAGAGGTCTGACTGAGTGCTCAGTGTCATTACATTCCGATTGAATGTTTTTGTTGAATGTATTTTTCACACATCTTTCATAAGTCTACTCTGTCTATGAGAAGCCGACATAGCGCAGTCGGTATAGTGACTGGTTACGGGCTGGGCAAGGGGAGTCGGAGTTCGAGTCCCGGTGGTGGCAAGAATGTTATTGTCTCCACGTCTTCCTGACTGGCTCTGGGGTTCACCAAACCTCCTAAACGATGGATCCCGGGGGTAAAGCGGCCGGGGCCTGACGCTGACCACTCATCTGCAGCTAGTGCCGAGGTCAAGAAAATATGGATCTGTAAATCCACTCCCCCATACGCCTTCATGACGCAGTGTTTAATTATTTAAGCTCACGGGCAACTTTACCCTTACTTCGTCTATGATCGGGTAATCCTGAAATTAAATTAGTTCTTCTGGAATTGAGGTTAATCTTAAAAAGTATTGTCGTCGGTTTGTTGCTTTGTGTATTGCGTGTTTNGCCAATTACCCAACACCCCTTTCGTTATACTGCATTTAAATAAAACTATTACCTCGTCTGCACAAACATATGTTGTATTTGAAGAAAGCAGTCTTCTGGGATTTGGCACCGTGTATATGTGGTGTTAACCGACGTTTCGGAGGAACGTATCGCCTTTCTTATATATTTTTTCTTCTACCCTGAAGATGGAGGCGATACGTTCCTCCGAAACGTCGGTTAACACCACATATACACGGTGCCAAATCCCAGAAGACTGCTTTCTTCAAATACAACATATGTTTGTGCAGACGAGGTAATAGTTTTATTTAAATGCAGTATAACGAAAGGGGTGTTGGGTAATTGGCTGCTGTTTCATGATTAATATTTGAAATCCTTCACTGTTCGTGTCTTCTAAAAAAATTAATATTNATTGTAGAAAGATTTCCTTAGAGAGAGTGCATCAGTTCTTTTTGTTATGAAAAAAAAAAAGTACAAAATGGAAACGCAGCTGTTTAGAAATTTCGAAGCGCAACAGCAGTGAATGGATTCCGATTTCTTAACCCTAGAATACATCAGTACGCACGCACGCACACATAGATTCCTCAGCTTGCGGTGTTGGGGCGGAAAATACAAAAATAACAGTTTCAATCAAAAATCAGAAATAATACATGTTCAATTCGACCTATCATAATTATGTAATACAAAATTACAATCTTACACGCTGTTTTGTATTAGTGTGAAACTTGGTATTTCACATTAAAGAAAGAACGCAGTGCCACATGTCGGGATGTACGCTTGACGAAATTTACGGGTTCTAGATCTGATGAATGCATTTATTGATGTTCCTTTACAATTACACTGAAGTCTGACAGCTCACAATCAGTGACCGTCTACGACCCGCTCCATTCCTTACTGGACCACGAGTGTCTTCCTTCTACTATCTTGTACTATCACGAAAGAAGATTCCTGTTCACACCTTGAACTGCACACTAATTCGCTTCTGACTTCTGACTGCCTGCTTTTGGTTTATCGCTCTGATTCTTTTGTTATGACTGACGGTCAGTCAGCCAGTCTGTCTTAGAATAAAGCACCCATCTGGGGCTTACGACCAGATTTTTATTACTGTCAGACAGTTGCGGGTTTGTTGTTGTGGAGCGCTCACTCTCTCACTGTCGTTTATAGTTGCTGTTGGTCCTCGCCAGCGCAGTCATTCTCGGGTCCGAGTCCTGTGGGACTCGCGCCAATATTTTACTCTCTTAGATTCGAGACGTTCGAGACTTCCCTTTCCGTCGCCTCCTAATGTTCTAGTATTTAGAGGTGACAGTCCAGGAAAAGCTGCGCAGTGGATGGGCAGGTCCATTCGTGAAAGTTGAGGGGTGTTGTGATTAGTCATTCGTCTGCATTCAGTGCGAGCAGACGTCCCATTCTTCCTTGTGCAGTCACGTTAAAGAGTTTTGACTCTTGGAGTCGTATTTGAGTGTATTATTCTCTAATTACTGTACTAATATTTTATTTTTATTTTTATTCGTTGATTTTCTTTTTTGTTTATTTATATTTGCACATTTTTCCTAAGTAAATTGAGTGGAAAAGTGTTGCATTCACAATCAAGAGAAATTGTTAGTAATGTATATAAGTATATGAAAGAGGCTGGGCCAGCAATTACAGTGAAGAACATAGGAGTGGAAGTAGCAAAGGCAACAGGTGTATCGGAAAGTAGTGTCAGAAGAATAATACGAGAAACAAAAAACATCGAATCTGGGGGGCTTCCACTTCCTTTTCGCCACCCCATAAGAAAGACCTAGGAAATCTCCATTAGCCACTTTGGACGACTTTAGCGAGTCTGTGGTGCGAAGAAAAATTAGTGACTTCTATATAGTCGAAAAACGGAGACCTACCCTGAAAAAAGTTCACGAAAAGTTGAAGGAAACGTTAGATGTTCAGAGATGCATCTCCACATTAAAGAAAATTATTTTGAAACTGGGGTTCCGCTGGAAAAAAAACAAAAAATAATCGGCAGATACTGGTGGAACGACATAATATCAGAGACAAATATCTTCAGTATTTGCGGCAAATTAAAGAATATAGGGAAGAGGGCCGCCAAATCATCTACATGGATGAAACCTATATTCATTCATTGCACACCACTCCATACGCACGGAGTGATGGATCCATCCAAGGATTATTTTCCCCTGTGTCCAAAGGCCAGCGGCTCATTGTTATCCATGCAGGGGGAGAGCAAGGTTTCATCACCTACTACTCGCAGGGCTACGGTGGAGGTATTCGACCCGCCTCCACGCGGGATACCTAACCCGCCTCATCCTATCCCTCTCGTTTGGTCTAATCTGACTTCCCTTCTTAGCTTCGGTAGAACGAATAGAAATCACCGCCTTCAAGGGTTTCAGTACTGTAAGAAGTCGTTACCGTGAATATGACTTTGTCACAACTCCGTTGAAGCGTAAACGTGATATTGAAACGTTCGATACCAAGCAACTGAAGTTCTATAGTTGACTGTGTTATCTAGGAAATATGCTTACCGAGCCGTTGCCTAGCTATACGCGTTACAATAGATTAAGGTTATCTGAGAACAGGATACCGAGGAGAGTGTCTTGGTATCGAGGCCTTGTTTCACGACAGAAAGTATACGAATCTAAAAGAAAGAAAGTAAAAACAAACTGAAGACAGCTGCATAAAGATGAATTTTATACTTTTACTATTCAAAAGATACTCGTATGATATAATCTACTGTGGAAAAATGGGCGGGACATTCAGCACGCATGGGACAGATTGGAAACGTGTAATAAATTTTGCTCGGAAAACCTGAAGGAAAGAGGCCACTAGGAACCCCAGGTTTAGATGGGAGTAATTGTAGATTTAAAATTGTCCTTGAATTCAAGTGGGATGATGGGTACTAGATACATCTGGCTTATGTTGGGGACTAATGATCAGTTTGTAAATATAGTAATAAACGTTCTATTTACCATAAAGATCACGGACTTTCTTGAATAGCTGAGGTAATAATAGCTTTTCAAGAAGGGCTCTGCTCCATTGAGTCAGATAGTTAATTAGATATTGTGTTACTGGGATAGTGTAAGAAACAATAAATTAGGAATATAGTAGTCTAGCCTCGTGATCAAGACAAGGCATATTAGGGACCAGCGTGATCGTATATGTATTTAAATCGCCGATCGGTTAGAGAAGAAAAATATTTTAAATACTAAAACTAAATTAGAAGTTAAAAAAGTCCCAATTTTCGGTGAACCACGGTGAACTTCGTTCCAGTTATTCAGAGATACAGTGCCAGTTTCAGTGGTCTTTCTAAAAGATTCTATTTGGAAGGCTTTGGTTCCGACATGCAACAGTACACAAGACAATATTCTTGATAATTATTCAGCTAGTTAAATTCCCTGCTATTGTATAACGTTTCCAAATTCCCTATACGAGGTAGAATTAGAAGTCAGAACTTTTTCATTTAAACTGTAATGTTCTCACTAACATCCGTTTGATAGAGAGCAAATGGCCAAAAGCTTGGTTTAAAACTTGCTCATTGAAAAACTGACGGTCCCTGTTTTTCAGAGGGAATTGTCTGTGAAATGTATAAACACGGTGATAGTGAAGGATAGGCGAGTGAACGGGGAGAACAGCCAGCTACAGTCCCTGTATCACCAGACGTATATGTTCATTGGTTCCCGCGTCAGAAGGCAAGCTGGCTGGGGATTGCAGTGTGTGCAGTGTGGGGAAAATGACCTGCTTCAAGGACAGGTCTGTTTAACTACATTATTGACATTGGGGCTGCTACACAGATATGAAAAAACAGGCAGTGAATTTCAAATGTGTTAGAACTGAAGTGCAACAAATAGAGACTACGCGAATGAATGCTGCTGGTCAAATAACAACTTTCACCGAGCAGACCATCCACAAGCCAAAGCCGCGCGAAGCATGGTAAGTGGGGTTTAATTCTTATTTAAATATACCCCAGTAACATTGTTTCGTTTTCGGATATTTAATATTTCGGTAGCAGTACAGGCTGACTAAACGCCGAATGAGGTACATAACCCTAATTTGTACCGCAGACTTGTAATGTGCAGGTAAAATGAGACTTTGATGTGCCTAATCTTTTCTCAGTGCTTTTATATTCACATACGTAAAAATTCATGGTAAGGGAGTTATTTAAAACTGGAGTCAACTTCTTCCAACCCCCACATTTAAAACCATCTTTCACCGATAATATGACTGTATGGGTCTAGAACGTTTTAACATATTATTAGTTAATNATATAATATATATAATAATATATAATATATAATATTATATAATAATAATTTTAAATTATTAAAGAACTGTCATAAAAAAAAAGAATAAACGAGTGGTAAGTCGTAACGAAAGAACAACAGGAAAAGGAAGACAGGAGATTAGTTTGGTTAGGAAAATGATATCATGCGGAATTCTAGTTAATAAATTATAATACATATAGTTATCATGTTTTATTATAACCGAATCATATTTATTTTCGTAACAAAATAGTTTAGTTTACAGTTTCCATTAAATGAAACTATCGTACTTTCATGATATCGACACCTGTGAGTTTGTTTAGTTCGTCGTACTTGAATTCAGATGGCACACTCATCCACACGAAAACATATCACAGCAGCGTGTCGTGCTTATTGATGCCAGATAAGGTATATTAAGTTACACGGTATCTATTCCGTTTTAATTCAGTGTCCTTTGCATCTCGCAATTTTATCATCATTGGAATAGTACCATGATTATGTCAGTCTCCAGGATTTTCATTAGCTGGAAGGTAACAGCCACAGAGAGTATGAACCATAAAAATATGAATGAAAAGAATGATCACTGTCTTAGAACATTAGACAGACATATTACAAAAGAAAACGAAATATGCTTAAGTTCTATGCTTTTTGCTTCAAACGGGCCTTCAGTTACAGTTAAGGGTAAGACATTTTATTATTCAAGGATCTTCACAGTATGGCCCATTTGTACTTTTTGCGGTTACTGTCGTAATTTCATTATCTGAAAATGGGAAGAGAATCGAAACGAATTGGTTGCATTTCATTCGTGAAAAACGCAACAACCAAACTGGCGGAAGTAATGAAATTGTGCTGATACAACAATACCAATGATATCTACTTACGAACAACGTAAAGGTAAAGTTGTCCCTGTGCTTAACTAATTATGCACTATGCCATGAAGGCGTATGGGGGAGTGGATGTATAATCCACATTTTCTTGACCTCGGCACTAACTGAATGTGAATGGTCAGCTTGACGCTCCTGCCGCTTTACCTCCGTGGAAAGAGCCCCCCGTACCCATTGGATAGGAGGCTGGGTGGGCCCCAAAGCCAGTGTGGACATGGAGAAGAGGAAATTCTTGACCGTGCCGGGACTCGAACTCCGACCCCTCGGTCTTCCAGCCCGCCAGTCGCTATACCGACTGCGCTATCCCGGCTCCTAATTATGAACATGTCGCCTTCTAACCGCAACAATAAATTAAAAGAATATAAACATGCAATTTTCTTAAAAGTTTTGCCCCAGGGAACGACAAAACCGTTAAAAGCAAATTAGATTTCTTAAAATTTCGTCCCTATTGGTATCATGAAACTTCCAGGCATTGTGACATAAGCCGTCATTGGTGTCATAGTTCTCAAAAGATAGCTTATTTGCACTATTGCATAACACGTTTAGTTCAGTACAAACAGATAAGCACGATATGGACAAAAGAAGAGCAAATATTAGTTTAACAGAAATAAAAGTGTTTATAAAATGCGCCGCCCCTAGAATCATTTAGCCCCTGGCGACCGTTTGGTACGCCTGCGCCTTAGCACCGATTCTGTACACAGGACAGAGTGGCGCATAGATTTAAGAAACGTCTTTTCCCAGTTTCGTCACATCTATAATAAATTTAATTTTATGTGTAACCTCGTTTTTATACATTAGTAAAAACACAGTGTACACGACAATGGATATTTTTTTGTGATCCAAAATATATTGTTTCAAATAAAATTACCACATGGATTCGAGCGTGCTGTAAGAACACAATATAAATACTAAAGCCTATCATAATAGGGTATAATTACGCGTCACCACTGGAAGTTTAAAATGGCTGATCATATAACAACACGGTCAGTATCGAGACTGCAGCGTTGATGATATGACATTAATGAAAATATGGAAGGGAAATCGAAACATTCGGAGAAAACCCGCTACAGTGATATTTTGTCACCACAAATTCCACACGATCTTATCTGGGATCGAACCTGTGCCACTGTGGGGAAACATAAGAATAAGAATTATATATCCATTGTTATACTGAACACTTGCATTTACTTTGAAATTTAGTACTATTCGGTAGACGCCACAGAATATGAAATAGAGAACATTTCCAACAATAAGAAAACAATTCCTATAATACCGCCCTACATCAGTAAGCCATATCAATGGATTACACTCATACAAGTAGAATATATAGTCGAACGCTTCATAGCCGCGGAAATACAGTTGTCCGAGAGAGTAGGTTCAGTTTTACAGGAAACTTCTGTCGAAAATCGAGGAAGATTCAAAAGTACCCATATGAATTGGGATGGGTTTTGTAAAACCTCTTACAGTAACATTTTGTACGGTGCACTTAATTTGTTTCAACCGCAAAAAAAAAAATCTACTTAGCTAAGAGAGTATTCTGAGTTAAAATGGCTTTATTGTGGAGAATCACAATTACGTACGATGTTTAACATAAGATTAAGGCTTCGCACTCCAAATTAAATCCCTCCGAAGCCTTATGCGCTCAGCGAATCAAAAGAAGTTTTTGTGCGCACTGAATTTTTAATACGTACGATATGTCCGAGTGGAGAGGGAATAGAATGCAGTTTTATTCTTACAGGGAAGTGATGCGAAAATTCTCCTCTCCCAATATCGGAGTTGAAAACCCAGCTTTCATTTCGTAATAGATTTTGATGTTCCATATTTTGAGGGCTTTATAAAATAAATAAAATATCCTTCTCTCTTCTGCTATCCTTTTCACTAGACGGCAGTACACGAGCACAGCATAGAAAGCAATAGACAATCTGCTGGGACAGAACGAATCCAAACATAAAGTAGTTTCGATTGAAGCTTCTCTTTGCTGTCAGTTTCGGCTGAGAAGGTCCGCTATTTCTTGAAGAAAAACGGAAAAGTGAATTCATGATCCACCGCTTGAGGCTGGGACGCAGTGTGTTCACCTTGCCTGATCTCTCTCCAAGGTTCAAGGCTCGGGGCAGGGATCAGAGAGCACGGCACCACGGGGTTGCTGCAACATACCAAATGTCTCATGACGACACAAACCCAATTGTCATGGAACTACGAGTATAAGAGGACATGCTCACAGGTGAACAGAAATTCCGGGTATACTTCATTGATAGCATTATTCTGGTTCCAATAGAACTCCATGTGGATTAGATGTATAGGCATATACAAAGGCAAAGTTGTCCCTGTGCTTAACTAATTAAGCACTACGCCATGAAGGCGTATGGGGGAGTGGATGTATAGATCCATATTTTCTTGACCTGGCACTATCTGGAGGTGAGTGTTCAGCTTCACGTCCCTGTCGCTTTACTCCCGGGGAAATAACCCTCGATACCTATTGGATAGGAGGTCGGGTGAACCCCAGAGTCGGTCTGGACGACATAGAGAAGTGAAAATTCTTGCCCCCACCGGGACTCGAACTCTGGCCCCTCGGTCGTCCAGCCCGTAGCCAGTCGCTGTAGCGACTACGCTATCAGGCTTTTTATATGGACATATAGCAACTCTAATTTATACGCTGTCCATTATTGTTTATATTGCAGCTCAAAGAAAATAAAATGAAAACAAATCAGACAATTTAACATGATTTTAAATTGGATCTTAAGAGAGAATATGGGGTGGTATGGACTGGACTGATTTGGTTTAGGCTGGGAACCAGTGGAGCTCTTGTGAACAAGGTAATGAACCTTCATGTTCCATAACATTTTGGGAAATTCTTGAGTAGCTGAGCGCCTGGCGGTTTCTCAATGACTCAGCTCCATGGAATTAATTCAACATGGTTAAGTTTCTAGAAACTACAAAACCATTGGCCTCGAAGACATTTGGCTATGCACAATATCTTCGAGCTACTGCAAGAGAACAACGTTTACCTCTGATCATGAACAGTGTACTTGCACATTGCTAACGTAGTGGATTTCAGCTGTCATTGCCATCACGAAACGAATAAAGCAAGAAGAAATAATACTTATCATCAACACATAAACGTAAAGACAACTAGAACTCATTTGAACAATGTTTGTATCCCGTTGGCGTATATGGTTCCACTCGTATTATTTGAGTTCTTACAGCAGTGGTTGTGAAGAATTCTGTCTTCATGGATATAACACCATACGGCGTTATATCCCAGAAGACAAACCCTTCGTCTTTCCACTCATTTAAGACGAAGGTTTCTGTGTTATGGCAACCGTGTTTGAGGTAGCATTGGTTGGTACTTCTTACTCTTGGGATATCTGCTCGAATCCTCGGGGCTGCATGCTCTTAACATCGTCCGCGTTGTCGCAGATGAGTCGCGATATGCTGCCTCGCCTGATCTCATTCACTTGTTCTGCAACAAGCAAGGTCAAATGAAAGTCGCAATATACTGCCACGCCTGATTTCGTTCACTTGTTCTGCAACAAGCAAGGTCAAATGAAACGGCATTTGCTCCAGATTTCTCTCCTTCGTTCATAATCACAGACTCAAATAGCTCTGCAATAACCTGTGTTACTCTGCTTAGCTTCATATTCTTTATAATTGAAGTTAGGTATATTATAAGCGGCCTCCATAGTCTAGGGGTAACGTTCCCACCTGATGACTCAAGGTACGCGGGTTCAAGCCCGGCGGAGGTCGTGGAATTTTTAAGGGCGGAAAAATTCAGGGAACAAGTCCTCCGGGAGGGACTTTAAGCCGTGTCGTAGATTTACGGCACGCAAAAGAACCTCATGTCTCTAGGAGACCTCTGAGCTAAATTACAGGCACTTTCCCGCCCAAGTAGTTTCCAATGCCTCTGGTAGATGGGGAAAGCATCAAAGGTACCGAGGGCCGACCTCGTTGGCTCAACTGGGCTGATGGCACGCACCGTTACCGGTAGGGTATGGCGACAGTAGAAATTAAAAGGGGACGCACAATGAACCAATAACTGGTCTAAGTGCATGGGGAAACCCACCCCCTCTCATAATACGAATACGAATAGGTATATTATACAGCTCCTGTTTGATGAGTATGGCGTGTCAAGTTATTCAACGCAGCCGTTATAACTGCAAAGGTTATGCAATGTTAAATGAAATGGGAAGAGAACCATGGCTGATGAGTAGGTACGAATTTATGATGGAGACGGTCGTGGCCTATTTCAGAATATTATCGCTGAATTCATCTCGAGGGACTGCGGAGAATAACGGAAACCTCTGTGAAGGTAGCTGGTAACAGCTGATATTTGAATCTGGCACTGACAGAATTAAATCCGTGATAAATACCCACTGCCCATTCTAATATTCATATAGGGTTAAAACTGCAAATTTGTATTCTAGTGACATTTTGCACCATCTTTGTGAAATACAAGTCTATATTGTTTATGCTGAGAAAGTCTCGAACCCCAGACTTATCATATTAGGTGTCTTGAAGCCCAGCAGTTAAATATTAACTTATATACAATATTTGTCTGTACGTCCGTATATATGATCAGTATTGTACAGAAGTTGGTCCAGTTTTGGTCCTTCCCATGATCTTCTAGAGCAAGGGTTCCAAAATTTTTTGGACCATGGATCACTCACTGATTAGAGTTTCTTTGATGAACCACCCGAATATTAAATGAAATATTTTAATTTTTTTTTAATGAAATGAGAGTGAAATTGGTCCAATGTTTATATTCCTATGAATTATAAAATTACAGTAACATTAAGATTTTACCATCATATTTCTATTTGTGCATAAATAAAATACTTTGACCCTGATGATGGAGACAAACACGTAAATAAAAAGTAGACACATTGAACCAGGATGCTACAACATTTTGAAACGTGTTTCGCTTACATGAAAAGTACCACGAAGAATGTAATTCGAATTTTGAGTCACAGGTTCAATCTTTCTACGCAAGAACTGGATTTTTATGTTGTTGTGTCTAAGGAATTCTCAGGCTCTGTTAGAAATATCCCACCGATTTGTACTCCCTCTCTCAACTAGATGACACCACAAGTTAGTAGCAGCTTCCTATAAACTCTCAAGACCTAGATTCTAAAGGGTTCTGACGATGGTGGATGAGACGCAGAATTACGGGGCTTTTGGACTTTTTCCATCGTCCGAAATTCTAGGTAATAGAGGACACGACTTTTCGGACACTGGATCTGTTTCCGTCTTCAGGTGAGAAAGGAAGCCACCTACTCAGTTGGGCCCACTAGAAAGAGCTAATCTTAATCAAAGGACACGACGTTCGGAAACTGGATCTGTTTCCGTCTTCAGGTGAGAACGGAAGACACCTGCTCAGTTAGGCCCCGTAGAAAGAGCTAATCTCAATCAAAGGACACGACGTTTCGGAAACTGGATCTGTTTCCGTCTTCAGGTGAGAAAGGAAGACACCTACTCAGTTGGGCCCCTTAGTAAGAGCTAATCTCAATCTTCTCTATCGCCTGAAGACGGAAACAGATCCAGTTTCCGAAACGTCGTGTCCTCTGTTACCTAGAATTCCGGGCGATGGAAGAAGTCCAAAACCCCAGTAATTCTGTGTCACAGAACCTAGTCATGTATACATGCATTACGTGCGTCTCTGACCTAGTGTAAAGGACGTGTCCTTCACTCCGTTTTCAAAGAAGAACCTGTCTCCCACTCGGGTTCTGTAGAACTGCTCAGTGATGATACAGAGGAACGTAGGGCCCACTAGGGTGCCGGGCACTATGGCCTCCAACGAGCCCCCCACAGTAAACTCCACGTCGTCTGGATGATGATAGAGATATGACAGCTTTTGTACACTCTGAAAACAAGAAACAAGATTGAACCGTCTCATTTAAACAAAATTATGATAAGATTTGTGCGTTGTGTCTGAGAGAATAACACTGACCGGAGGTAAAGTGAATCTTCAAAGAATACAGATACTTGGATATTTACAGTAACACATTAGTTAATGAGGAATGAAAGAATGAAATGCGCCACTTAATTACCGGAGGAAAAAATCACACAGTCTTGAATATTTGTTTCATTTATCTTTCAGGATATGTATCCAGAGGATATGTTTTGCTTTCTAATGCAAGATAGCTACTGTCAATGTTAGAAATGATTTCTGCAAAGAACAAATAAGAACAAATATGCCAAAATTTATACTGAATCCAAGAGTACTAACTTTGTGTACAGTTTCTCGGGCTACTATTAAATAACTCACAAAGTAGTGACTTAAGTATAAGAATAACCTTGTAACTCTACAAAACTGTCCGTGTGTCAAGGTTAAACAATCATGAGCAGCTTTTTAATTTGTACTCTTTAGAAAATGTTATTAAGAGCTATGAAGTTAGTCGCTGGCGTCGAGCCCCTGTCAGGTCATGTGGACTTTCTGGTGGACAAGGTGGCGCTGGGGCAGGGTTTCTGCGTGTACTTTGGTTTCCCTTGCCAATCTTCATTCCACTAATTGCTCCACAATCATCATCTATCATCTTGGCGTGGCACAATAAACCAGTAGTGGCCGCAGTACCAAGTGGTCTCAGTCTCACTCCACCAAGAAAAATAATGTTCACTGGATAACTTGAAGGAAAGATGCCGCTTCGGGGACCTAGACGCGGATAACATGATAGTGTTTAGACGAATTAAAACGTAATGATTGGTTTTACTGACTCAAGATGAGGCGAAAGGCTGTTGTAAACGTGGCACTGGTTCCATACGAGGCGGGTAATTGAATTACCAGCTGAGCTACTATCAGCTTAAAAAACATCGCGTTCCATTGAAATAATTATGATCTGTAAAGAACTACCCTTGAGGTATGCGCAGAAACGAATGTAGATCCAAAGTGTCAGCTGTTCTGTTCAATTTTAACCGAAACTGGAATATGTCAATACATTTATTAGAAGTCATGACAATATTTTCTGCGACTCTCAACTCTTCCATGGTAATAGATACGTGAGGAAGCTAACTTGCTAATTTTTGCAACTTTGCGTTGTGAACATGTCAAGACTGAACTTTCATGCTTTCTTACTTCTGGGTCAATGAGATCCGCAAAGTCTTCGAAAGAGTGTGCTTTGGGCAGGCCGCAGTACTCCCTGTAGTGATTGTATGATGCCAGGCCGTGGTCACGCGCTCGTTGTATGTCGATAGCCCTCAGATCCTGGCCTAGAGACCTCCCATTCCTGAAGAGGAACCATGTGATCTGCAAAAAATCGGAACCGTTATGACGTAGTGTTACAGAGCCTACTGCAAAGAGGGGAAATTGCGCAGAAAATGTCACTATAGAAATACAGACAAGGAATCGTGTATAGTGTGTGATTCCCAAAGATCTGTCACAAGACATATGCAACAGGAATGAAAAAGGAGAATTAAGTACATATATTAATTTGATATCAGCTGCTCTCCTCTGGCAACTGGGAGACTTGCCTCAGTCGTGAAGAACTTGTCACTGGACTCCTGAGGTTGAGTGTGCATTCCTCGAGCTAGGTCATCGAAGTTATTACCCTCTTCAATAATCTGTGGACGGTTGAAGTGGTCGCTAAGCCGCAAGGCCTCGTAACTGGAGCGATGCTCGTCAAAGAGCCTGAAAGTAATATGCCAGCAAGATTTATAATTACTCGTATTTGCCGTCAGGGATCTTGCCATTTAAGAATTAATAGTCCACTGTTGCAAAATCGCTTCATTTACGAGAGGAATGAACCCCATCGAGGAAACGGGAATGTAACATTGTTTCTAAGGTGAGAAATATGAAGGCTCATAGGATCTTAGACTGCAGGAACATTGGGATCATGTGTTCGAATTAAGTTTGAAACACACTGCAATATTTTCATATTTTTGATTTACGTACCTAATAAATATTTAACAAAATACAAAAAATATTCAAGACAACAAGACAAAATTGTATCGTAGATCAGACCGTTAGGCGTTGGATTCTCAGGGTGGAGACTCGGGTTCAAGTCCAAGTCATTATATGTGAAATTTGTAATGAATCAAATGGTACTGAAAAGATAAGGATATTTCTCAGATTCCCTCCGGTTTTCCGTTGCTAATAATCATTCCACTATTTCTTCATATTCATCACCGGCAACTGAGGTGGGTAACATCCCTAAACAGGTGGCACATCCTACAACCGAGAACTTTAAGTCTACACCTCTTACCCGGTGTTTGGATAGTTACAGAAAAAGGAATTTCATTAATTACAAAGAAAAATAATATAGGCCTGTGCCTCTATGCAGGATCATGCCTGACTTAATGTTGGTTTTAGACCAATACGAAAATATCTGTGCCTAACTTCGTGAGCAGGCCTTGCGACGAGCTGATCACCCGCCCAAGGAGTCCTACCGAATGTGTAAGATCTAGAAAACCGAAGTGAACGGAGAAGTTCATGAAGGTAGGCCTAGGCCCACTGGGCTGTAGTGCCAAGGGGGAAAAAACTTCGTGGAGCTGAGTCCTTGGGATTCTAATAGTCGCTCAGAAAATCCCCGCCTCTTAAAGGACCCGAAGGTTCATCACTGTGATCACCAGAACTTGCCACTCTACCCTATCTAGACTTGATAAAAGCAGCCCACATTATGGTAAACTGTTTCTCTTTAATGTCCATTCTTATAATGATCCTCCAATATATATTTGTGTCTCGCAAATATTTTAACGATATTATTTATAATAACGAATGTTACAGACATCGATGTGTGAACCGGGGTAGTGCAGTTGCTATAGCGACTGCCTACGGGATGGGTGACCGAGGGGTCGGAGTTCGAGTTCTGGTAGGGTCAGAATTTTCTCTTCTCCTTGTCGTCCAGATCGACTCTGGGGCCCACCCAGCCTCCTATCTAGTAGGTAACCGGGGCTCTTTCACAGGAAATACAGCGGGTGGGGCGTTAAGCTGATCACTTATCTCGAACTAGTGCCGAGGTCAAGAAAATGTGGAACTATACATCCACTCCCCCATACTCCTTCATGTCGTAGTACTTAATTATTTAAGCACAGGGACAACTTTATCTTTTACAGACAATGATGTATTCAAAATTGCGAAGTACATATTTGGAAAATGTGTGTGCTACTTTCAATTCATATCGCGTGAAACGCGTCACAATGTCACCTTGAGCTTACGATTGGCGTCTCCACTCACCTGAGAAACCCAGCGATATTTGTGTGGAAGAAGCGGAAAGCCGCAGTGGCGTGGTCGTTCAGTACTGAAGGGTCAACATTCTCCTTGTAATCGTACGTGAAGTCCTGAGTGTTGTATGTGAGCCCGTTGCGGTCCGTGTTCTCCCGACCTGATTGGCAACACACAAACAATTACTGGAATGAATGACATTCCACACAACAGTCAAATTGCTGTATTGTACTTGCGTGCATGCCTGTGCATATATGTTTGTGTTTCGCGGGTGTATCAATTTCTAACGATCACAGTCAAAGCTATCGTAACAAGGGAAAAATCAATGATGCAGAGCCCACCACAAAACCGAAGACACAGAACTCGCAACAGAAGATCTATACGATGTAACAAACGCGCCGTCGTATATCTAATTACACCAATTCTTTAAGCTCTAACTGCCATATTCACGCACCCCTCTGCATCTGCTCGTGTATAGATATCTGGGACGCACCAATTACTACATGTCCTCACATATTCAAGATTATAGACACCACTTCAATAGACATCTACAACAGTGAGATATATTAACAATACAGTAAGATAACGGTAACATCCAGATATATACCCTCTACCCCGTATCTAGTTACGTAAATTCCACCACCTTAAAACTATATATGAGTATTATAATACGAACCTATCCATCACCTCACCTATTTACCTATTTTCTCAAATTAGCCTCATTATTTGACTTTAGAATCCAGAGCAATTATTGACATTTTCTGAATAACAGTTTCATTGTAAAATCTCATCAATTTTAGCCAAACAACAATGACGTATCTATGTAGCACCTGATGATGATGATCTAATATGATCGAAATAGGTGGTGAATATACCCAATAAAAAGATATTAAAAAGTTTAAGTGATAGTTTCATTGTTAAGTGTTCTGTTGGCTGTCATGAAGTACTGTTTTATATCATACGCAAGAGGATATAAAAAAAGCTCAAGCATTAAAGATTGTAACTTATTTGGGAGATGTTCGTTCGAATTTTGGTCGCTACACCGATTATGCTTACTGACGGCTTTCATAGTTTTCCTCAGTCACTTCAGGCATATGCCAGGATAATGTCTTAAATTAGGCCTCATCCCAATTTATTATCCAGTCAGTGACGCTATATAGTTAAAATTATTGATAACTTGGTTAAATAAACTACAAATAAGGAACATAATTATGGTCGAGAGTGATTTAGTTGGGTAAAGTAGCTCACCTAGGATGATCGGTAGCCACTCATAGTATGTGACGGCCTGGTGCTCGGCAATGGCAATTTTTCTGGCTTCTTGGTACAGTCGTTCGTCGTCCCAATGAGGGTTAATGCGGGCAAGTTCACCAGCCAGGCGATTGTGTTCCCTCAGCTGCAGAATCTGGAACACCGTAAGCTGTGGGTTCTGATTCGCTCGTATGTCACCTGCGGACAAACAGGATGCGCTGTGAGACCAGAGCGGTGCCTACTCTGCTGATCACCACCTTCCAGGAGAGTGCTTTGCAGTCTCTTATCTAAAGGCTCACAATTCTGCCCCCAAAATTGCTTCCTTCTTTCGACTGAAACCGTACAAATTATATTTACCCTGGCTTTAAAGACCTAATGACTCGTCCTTCTGCCTTAGTCGTTCAGGTAACACATCTTTACCCTACTAACGATGGATAAATTATTTTGGAATCTAGTTACTTTATGCTGAAAGCAAAAGAGATATGATTAAACACACATAAACACAATTGTATATTTTAAAGACTGTTGTCTTCTGGTATGTAACGATATATAGTCTGGTGGACTGTTAGCAACGTTTGGAAGGAACTGTTCGTTGGTAATGGTCTGCAAGGAACACGACGTCACATAACTGAAGACAAATATCTCTATAATCACTGCCATGAAAACTCGAAATTTCGCAAAAGTGCATTAGCTGGCATGTCGAACATCAGGTCTACAAGCTATTGAAGAATGTCGATGATTTTAGACCGCAATCTAACAATGTATCCAGTAACAGTGATTATGAATTCTGAAGATAATATTTTGCAAGTTAGATTGTAATTCTGAACTCTTACCGACCGCAAAATATGTGTCACGTTCATGAACAATAAAGGTAGCCCCTGATAAAACAAAACGAGGAAACGAGCCCCATGACGAAGTGTAGAGCAGTGGGAGACATTTTCTTAATGATCCGTTCGATGTATCATTTCGTTGAACATGCAGATAAATCCACAGGCAATTATGTTACAACATCCATATTTTATTTAAGAGTTCTGAAACCAAATCGTCTATATATTGCAATTTCTTCTTCTGTAAAATATTAAACTAAGTATTTGGGGTTCCAGTCAGTAGTATACGGCAATAGGTGATATATGAACACTGCGAAAGGAAACCGATATGCTCCGTCTCGAGGAATTTGGTTTATATTCTGTTCATAAAGATAACCTAGTACTTTCATTACCGCCAACCACTGCACTCGACTCCATCCACCCGCTAGGGTAGCTCATTCGATACTGCGACGGGCTATGGGCTGGAAGGCCGCGGTTCTATTCCCGGTAGGAGCACTATTTTTATCTTCTTTACTGAGTCCAGAGTGTCTCTGGAACCCACCCAGTCTCTTATCAAATGGGCACCAGGGCTCTTTCCTCGGGGGTAAAGCAGCAGGGACGTGAAACTGATCACTCACCTCCATCTAGTGCCGCGGTCAAGAACTATGGAGTTATACCTCCACTCCTCCATAAGTCTCCATAGTGCGGTTCTTCATTAATTAAGCAGAAGGATAATTTTGCCTTACCTTTTAAAGTATAAACAAGACGTCCACAGTAAGTACGGTAATATAAAGGCCGCGCCATAGCTCAAGCGGTTAGTCGGTGGCTTCCCATCGCGGCGGCCCGGTTTCGATCCCGGGTCTGGTCAAGTGGGATTTGTGGTGAACAAAGTGGCGCTGAGGCGGATTTTCTCCGAGTACTTCGGTTCCCCCTGCCAATCTTCATTCCACCAATTGCTCCACAATCACCCTCACATATCATCTGGGGGCTGGTAAAATAGGCCAGAAGTGGCCGCAGTACAAGGGATTTAGTCCCACCCCACTAGCAATAAAAAAAAGTACGGTAACATAGCATCTGTCAAGACTGAGATTCCTTGACGCACCTGTCAAGTAGCATGCCTCTTCCTCCGATAGATGATCGCAGACTGCTGACTTGTTGTTATTGGGAGGAGGGAACTGGCGGCCATGTTTCAGTTCCACACTGAGACGCCCGCCCTGGAACTCTCTGCGGGCGTCAGCTCCCTGCTGACTGGAGCCGTATACATTGGAAGAATCCAAGTAGTGTGTCACAGCGCTGATCTACGGAACGAAGGAAAGGGTGATCAAGTCAGAAATGACATACATTGGATCATTGGAAGTAAATCCAGCACATCGCTAGATAGTAAAGTACTTCTATACAAGACCATCATAAAGCCTATTTGGACCTATGGAATCGAACTATGGGGATGCGCCAGTAAATCGAACATAGCCATAATGCAACGAAGACAGTCCAAAATACTGCGGATGATCACAAATGCACCTTGGTATGTGTCAAATCAGACCCTACATGACGATCTCAATGTACCATTCGTCAAAGAAGTCATCCAAGAAAGAAGCATAAAACATCACGATAAACTAGGACACCATAGCAATACATTACTGCAGCCCCTACTGGAACAACAACAACGAAGAAGGCTAAAGAAATTATGGCCCGCAGATCTACTTGATGGTTAGAGGATCTCTCATTGGAGGAGCCCTCATCACGACACAATAA